CCCTGAGTGTGGTGGATCTGCGAGTCTGCAGGCGGTTGAAGACAAAAGTTGCCCATTGAAGTTGCTGCGTACGACTTGAGGTACGTCCTCCTCCTTTACCACACCAGTTTCCGCTTCATTGGCCGCTGTTTCTTGGGCTTCTGATGTGAGGTAGGTTCAAGGGGCTTGCATGGCTTGATGTGGATTTGGTTTGCAAGGTTGCACTGTACCAGACATTTCACTTCCAGGTGGTCTACATATTAACCCTTCCCCCCCGCCAAAAGGGCTTTGTATAAAGATTATGGTCCTTTTTTACCGGGGGGGGCTATATAGGGTTTCATGTCAAGTCTTCGGTGTCAAGGCTTTTTGGTGCAGAAGGGCATGCTGGGATCCAAGAGAAAATCTCAGGGACCCACAGAACTTTAATGCAAATCCCTGCATGCCTCAAGCCCATCCTACATCCCAACACTTCCCCCTTTGTGCGCAAACTCTGCCTGGACCAGCGTTTTCTGGTGTGTAGAATTCAGATGCAGGAGAAAGAGCCAGATACAGGGTTCTTAGGCAAACGAAAAAATCCTCCTTATCGATTCGCCTTGTGTTCCTGCGTGTGCCAAGTTCCCAAACAGCTTTTACTCTCGCTGTGGTCCCTTCAGACTCTTTTTTTTGACATCATGCGCCGTAAAGTACTATCGTGGCCTGATGCAGTTCTGCATGCTCCCCTCATACAGTCCTTTTCTCTGATTGCCTTCACAATGTTCAACTGTATCTGCAAGGAAGAAATCAAAGCACTCAAGCAACGTAAGCTTGAAGCAAATTTCATAGGCAACATAGATCAGCTCAACCCACTTTTCTCCCTAAATCAACTCACTGTTCCCTACGCCCTACCTTGGACGCACAAGACGTCCAGTTCCTAGGACCAAAAATGCGAGTTGTAATGAAACTGAAGTTTATCGGTCTGGTGTCTAAAGGAAACCCAGCGTATAGTCATATAGATGGATATGACGTAACAGTATGCATGTGTAAATCTATACATACATATATACGTATATATACATATATACATATATGTATACACGCTTGTTTTCATACGAATACACATACATAAGATAAACCCTGGACCCCAACCCCACATCATTGCCGTTTATATTACTAGTACCAGTACTTCCGTAGGACCATTACCATTAATTACCACTACTACGACTACTACTTTCCTGTTGTATTCTTACTACTACTATTCCTTACTCAGGCGGCCGTTGCCTTTGGAGCTCGGAGTCTGAAGCGACAGGCCTTGCTTTGGGGTACTGAGGCTTGCTTTGACAGGAATGCATAGGTCCAATCGGAATTTGTAGGCTTCTCGGATAGTGCTTAGAGTTAGAAGGTTTTAAGATCTTGGGGATGAAGGCCTTGAATTGAAGCTCAAGATAAATTTGAAGAGGGACTTGGACAGCATGACTTGCGTCTCTGATTTTGGACCTTGCTTTCGAGTTGCAGTTGGGTCTCTGGGCTTCAGGTACCAGTCTCATGAGCGGGAACTGCAAGAACCTTCCCAGAGCTTGTCCGTTAAGCACCACTGTCACCACGACTGTTCTGATTTCTACAAGTCTGTGAGGGGAAGCTTGCGCGCAAGTCCCGCGGCGGCGAGGGCTATGTGGGTCGCTTCGATGGGACCCAGGCCCTGGGGATGGATACGCCCAGGGGTTTAGGGATTTAGGGCTACAGGTTAAGTATATCGATCATTCATGGCGCAATGGCTAGATCATGCAAGTGTGTTGAAGGGGGAAGGCTAGGCTGTAGGGCGTAAATTGAATTATTTTTTCGGTTTTCATTGGTCATGGGCAGGGCAGTCTTTCGCCAGAGCTCATAACCTGGTCAACAATGAAACTCAAATGCCTTCCGCTAAAACAACATTGCGGGCATGCGCTGTCAGAACCGCCAATAGGGACAAAAGCGCATCGGTCTGAAAGCCAACTTGCTGGCGTTTTGCCACTTCGGAAGTCGATGCTCCTTGATTCAGCAGGTTCAAGACGGAAAGGTGAGGCACAGAGTAGGCAAGATCTTTGCCATGAGCTTGATGTGTATAATGATGTCCTTCCTTCTGACCAGTGCCCTTCTCAAGCTAGATGGCCACCCTGACTCCCTTCCCCAAGGCCCCTTTTCCCTTCCAGCTAGGTGGACGAGTCCACCCAGATTCATGAGCAGGAGGAGGCTATGGCAGCCATGGGCACCAGGCCGCTGCCCTGACTGCGTTAGTCTAGTTAGCCTTGCTCACATTGCTTAGGGCCATCATGTCTGAGGCTTAGGATGGGAAGCTAGCAACTGAGGCCGAAGCCTTCTAACAATCCTGTTGCAGGGGTCGCAGCGCCGCAAAGTGGTCAATCTTCTCTGAGCGCATCGAGGGTTTGGCGAAGGCTCGCATCGGAGACGATCGAATAGGGAGCTTGCAGCATTGCAGAACAGGGCAGTGCATGCAGTTTGCAATCTCGACCTTTGAAATCATTGCGAGGAAGATTGCTTTCAACTGTCGCAGGGGGTGCAGAGCTTCAGAGTTTGAGGTCTACTTCCCAGGCAAACTTAGAACTGGAAAGGTGCCGTTCTTGGGTTCCATGCTTGCTTTGAGGAGATCATCAGATAATCCTGAACCTTCAAGACCCGAAGCAAACCCTGAACCCTGGAGTATACCATGGCTTCAGTGCATGTGAGGTGTTAAGTGATTGCTTCGGGGTCTCTACATATGAATCAGCTATGCCGGCAAAGAGCCCAGATGTCTAGCGGCACTTGAACAGCGCCAAGCCGAGATGGCGAAATGGCTTTGAAGCCCCCGACAGCAGGCAAGACACTTTCGGGACCCAACACCCGCACCGCAATCTGCCGGATGGCCAACAGAACTGTGCACAAAAACTCCGCACTTACTAACAGCCCAATAGCCAAGCTACTTGGGGACTAGAGATCCTATCCATTTTGGAAGAATCCTGGCTTGAAAAAGGAGATGTACATGCTGATCGGCTCGCTGGACCCCTATGCTGCTTGCACGATTTGATTGCTGCGCAGGGATTGGGAGCAAGCATAGGGCACAGGGGTTCGGCGTGAGGGTGCTCGGAGCTTTGAAAGTCGCGCACGCCTGGGCGGGGGAAAAATCTCTTCAAGCTCTCTGTTAATCAGTAGAGGTCGTTCTTATACCGCACAACCAGTGCAGCTAAGGTCCGAGATCACTCCACGGCTGAGGGCCCAGCCATGACGGCGATCCGCGAGAAGATGGCAGAGACCGCGCCTCGACACAAAGTTGGGATGACGGAGGCTTTGACCTGCCGTGATCATTGCTTTGCCGGCGTGCTGGTGCGGTCTTTGCTATAGCTGCTATGGCTGATGCCTGCTTTGATGGCATGACTGCTTGCTGCCATGCTCGGAACAGCCAGGTGTAGTTCTGCCTGCATCGTGAGGCGTAGAGTTGAATGAGCGTTGTGATCATGCAATTTGGTGGGAAGGACCCTCGATCTTTCGGCTAACGTACTTAAGAAGAGCAACCTACTAGTAGCAGGTGGTTTGTTCTACTCATGCCTGCAGCATCTCTGCCACAGCGCGGTGCCCTGTTGCAGTCATCTTCCAGATGTTGAACGTCGCCTCCCACGCCCAAACAGCTTGACATAGCTTGACCCAATAGCCGCGGACCTGTGGACATTCGTATTTTTGACTGGTTTGCAGCAAGTTTTTCTCGCCGGTCAGCAGAAAGGATCCTCACAATAGTCTTTCTCCAAGCAACTTGCGTTCATGGTGCGGCCAACGTACCAACTCTGATTCATTCGAGCCTTTGACAGGGTTCATATCGGAGCACACTGAGTACACCAGGGTGCGCCATAAAAATATCTTTAGGTGGACATGCCTGGTGGTGTGGTAGGCCAGGTCAGATGTCCAGGCACTCTTGCTGCTGCAATATCCGCTGCTCATGCACATTTTTAACCCGTTGATGGCAGTTGGGCTGCCCCCACGCATTAACAGCTGGAAAATATTTATTGTATAGCCCTTAATATGGCCCCGAATATAGACTCTTAATGGGCGGGTGAAGGACAAAAGATAACAACGTAGTGCCCGCAGTGCCGAGCATGGTTGGCTTGGTTGTTACTTTGGTCTTATGTGGGCTCTAGTCTAAAGTCTAAACTCCTTTAGGGGGTGATTATATAGGGGAGCATTATAGGAGTTGTTAAGGGGGATACTAGGAGTTTAGATTATAGCTCATGTGACAGCGAAAAGTATCGCGCTTTGGTGCTCCCAACTTATTCTACGTCCTGCGTGGACGCCAGGCTAGTTTTGGGGTACTGCATGCTGATATGTGGGGCTTTCTCAATACGGCTGGCCCATAAGGACTCCAGCACTGCACCACACAGGGATTGCAGGGATCCGTATTTGGTTTGTGTTGATGCTCAGGACTGGGCCGGACTCGCTGAATCCAAAACCACCATGTTCTCCTATGGAGCTACAGCTGCAAAAATGTCAGGGTGGATCGTGCATAGAAGTGTGAGACTGCTCAGGGTATATTTTCAACTTGTGACCTTGTACGTACGCTTCAACCATATACAAAGTTTGATCAAATCTCCAAGCAAGGTTGACATTTCTGGTGTGAGGCTTCTGAGAGAAATCCAACCACCTTGCAGGGAGCGCATCGCCCTGGGTCCCTGAAAGTAACATACGAAGACTGCAGCAGCTGTCGCGGATCTCTTTCCAAAGGATCCTTGTGAAGGAGGTCTTGCGAACCGGATCCGAACTACGCCTGAGGATGCTACAATGATACGGATGATACCTGTCAAAGAAATCGAGGACAGCACCACTCGAATACCCTGAGTTGCTTTGACGTTCCAGGCCTAGGACTCTGACAAAACCAGATCGTAAACCTACCCAAAAGTACACATTTATGATGATTGTGTTTGCTTGTTTCGTCGACGACTAAACAATTTAATTCGATTACCGGAATATCTCAGATACCAAAGCCTTATCACAAAGACCGTGCAACTACAATCCAAGGAGAGGAGATGTCCACTGACCCTACGGAGGCACAATTCATGAAGATGCTTACCTTCATGAAGCAGCCGAAGCAGGCAAGTTCAGCTGGTGCAAGGTATGGATGAGTACTCAGGGGGTTCGCAAAATGGGGCGCCCCTAGGATATGTAGACAATATAGGTGTTTTACTGGGGCCATTACTGAGCATTCAAGAGGGATTATTTTGAGACTCTCATGTGCGGATACGGGTCGGGGAAGGGAGATGGCCCAGCGATGAGAACTGAAGAAGTTAAGGGAAGGCGGCCGGCGGTTGCCACTTGAGTTGTCAATTCTGATCTGAGTCTAAACGCGCCTTACAGGGGGTTGTATAGCGGATTATAAGGTTATTTACAGGGTCTGAAGGCGGATGCTAGGAGTTTAGACTACTGCTCATTTGGGCTGGGTATATAAAACCTAGAACCCATTATATAGGCAACTGGAGCCGTAGGGGTCATTAAAGGCAGATGTTCAGGCAACCTAGGGACATGGAACGAGGTAACCTGAGCCCGGGCACCTACATGTCAAAACCTATAGTCCCCCTTAAGTAAATGGAATATGGGGCATATGAGGATCTTATTATCATATACCCAAAGCCATATTCTATCTACTTAGGCGGGACTATAGACCCTAAAGCCTATACCCTAAGTAGCAGTTTCCATTTTGCTTTCCATTATCCCAATATAACCTCTATATAACCCCTCTATTCTACCTTAGGAGGACCCCCCACCCTGTAATAGTGGACTATTAGGAATATAAGGACCCTAATATAATCCATATTATCCCTTATAGTCACTATTACTGGGTGGGGGGTCCACTGATATTCTACCTACTTAAGAGGGTCTGTAGACAGAAACAGAATCCGTTCATGAGCCTGCAGAGCCCAGGTGTTTTTCGCGAATTCCGAAATGAAACGCTTAGAAGCAATCCCTGGGCGTCCAACTAGCCCAAGGTGGGTAAGATTTACAGAGTTGAAGGGCATTATTTGTATACTTGAGTCCTTGTATTGGCCCCCTTCATAAATCCTGTTTCCAAAAATGTTCTTTTCCATTTAATTCTCCATTATTGGTGTTATTTGTACACTTGGATCCCTAGGGAGCGTCTTGCAAATCTGTTTTTGCAGCCATGCAGGTGCTGGAGATTGGCATGTTCACCGGCGCCCGGGCTCATGCAGTGTAAGAGCTTGCAGAACATCATTGCTCTGTGGATTGTTGAACAGTGTTAAGACAGTCAGTTCCCATTTTTTTGTGCTGTCATATCAGATGTTGATGAGAACATCTCAGAGAGGCATTGGCAAGAACCCGTCACGACCCCTGTAATTTGGCCAGAGTTCGCAGCAACCCCTGATCTTAAATGGTGTGGCTAGTAAGCATGCTAACCGGAAACAGCCCAGTGACATTCTGGGACCGTAAGCTTGTCAGTATTATAGCCACACTGCCGCTCCCCAAACATGGCACCCCAAATGGGCACCCCAAAAGACTGGTCTGGGCTTGTCCAAGGGACAGAGCGGTGTAACAGTTTGTGGTATTGCAGAGTGAGAGGGGGCGCAGAGACTAGGGCCCGCTCCATTGTTTGCAGGGCTTGTGCCCATGACGTACACAGAAAGCACCATTGGCCCTCTTTCTCATGAGCGAGGGGCTGTAGTTGTGGCTGCCTGACACTCCAGACAATCCTTTTAGGGATCTTGAATGTTGATGTTGCCATTGATCATCTTATGGTAGCCATTGAAACAACATGAAGTCCTACACTACGCCCTCAGCTGTTCAGAGCCCTTTCCGCACAACGTCAGGACAGAGCTAGTTATGCTAAGGGTGTAGGTTTGGGGTTTAGCGAAGGGCCTATGCTGGGTACGAGTTCCGAAGCAATTAACAGCAGCCCCTGATCCCCTGGTTACTCTCCAAGCCCCTGTCACCTGCCAATGTACAACGCATAGAAGCTGGAATTCCCAAAGCCTAATTGTTGAATGCCATAATGCAATTCCCAAGAGGTAAAGTACTTTGGGTACTGAAGGATAATTAGTATGTTTTTCAAGTGTGAACCTATGGCAGGCACCCTAGACCCTAAACTCTACACCCTGAACATGGCTTTGGCCGAGGGTACGGTGCCATGGCTATCGCAGAGGCCCTGCCTGCAGATGGCAACTGGAACTTGCTTTGGAAGCAGTTTACATGGTTTGGTAAGAGTTGCTTTAGGATTCAAGAGCAGGGACCACAAAATGGTTTGTGGTTGCATGTGACAGTTGGGCTCAGGATTTATCATACGTGCAGGCCAGCTTGCACCATTCGAAATCCCCAATCAAGTTCCAACAATCATTAACGCACTGCAGCCTTAAACAAGGCAAGATCACATCTCTGGACATCGACCCCTACCTGAAGACCTGGGTCGAAGATGTTTCGAAAGACTTTCCGGAGGGATCTCCGGCTGAAATCGTGTTCAGGGATGGTCTTGGAACAAGGGCTTGTAAGGGCTTATGGAGGTTTAGTAGGCTTTACTCAGGATTTCGGACTATCACCAGATTCTTGACATAGGGTAGAGGTGGCTTGGGATTTCTGGTGTTTGTTTTCCGGCTGGATTCGGTTCTAGGACGCAAGGATGCAGGACACAAGTCCACGTCTTTCTCCGGGCACGGAGCACAGTCGAAGTAGAAAAGGGCTTAGGGATTACTGTAAGAGAATAGTGCGCAGAAAGACCTCTCCCAACATTGGCTTTGTGTCGGATTTTTCATATGCTTGCAGACATCGGCCTTGCCCGGCAAGGATCTGAAGTGAAGGCTGTTGTTTTTGTGCGGGACGTCTAGGTTTGGTAGAGGTGTGCTCAACATGCTTAGCTGCTAGGTTTCGTGAGTAGTGCTTGCAGATCGCTTCAGGGGTAAAGGCACGACAGAGGCAAGGGGTCATATCTAAACTTCACAGCTTCGCTTCTTGCAGTAGTTAACACGATTTAGAGGACAGTACGTCCAGCCACCGTATAGGATGTCTATGCCTTGCTGCCACATTGTTGCCGGGATGCACCAACACTAGGCCCCAGCAATTTTTTCCCACAGACTTCTAGGCATGAAATGGACTTTCATCCACTTTTCTGTTCTGCCTCAGCGTAGGGAATCCTAAGCTCTAAATCCGGGCGAGTGACCTTGAGGGATGATGCAGCATAAGCCCTAAACCCTAAAAGCCCTAACCCTAAATCTTCAATCCTAAACCCTGAGCCCTTTGTCCTTAGCACTGTAGGTGCTAAGCACGAGATCGTGGTGGGCCCGGCTCTGGACTCTCTGCAGACCATCGAAGGGAAGTATGACCTGGCTTCCAGCCTTTTTAAGGGGATTGAAGGGGTAGAATATAGGGTTTAGACGTTAGGGTTTAGGCGTTTAGGGTTCAGAGGAAGGGATATAGGGTTTAGGGTTTAGAGGACAGGATATAGGGTTGAGGGGTTCAGGGGTTCACGCTTTAGGTTTAGGCCCTCACCTACTAATAGTGGTATACTTGGAGTATAAAGATGCCCTAACAGAATTACCAACATCTCTCGTGGTCACTTTAGTGGGTGTGGGCCCAACCTAAGAGTTTGGGGCTTAGGTCCCTTAAAAGGGGTTGAAGGGATATGGAGGTTTAGGAAGGGCAAAGAGAACGGAAACCACTGTTTAAAGCTTAGGGCTTACCAGTCGTATGGTCCCCTGAAGCATTATTTGACCTTTTTGGTTTGCTGCCCCTCTCAAAAGCTTGACGACTTTGGTAGTTTATAGCTTATCGTTTGTTTTTGTAGATGAAGCCAATATCTAAAGCCCAGTAAAAGGGCTTCCTCATTTTTTGCGGGGGTGCGGGCCAGGTATTCATTGACGCTAACAAGGCTGAGCTCCTGGGCTGCAGGGTGGCTGGTAGTGGATGGTGGAGAGGTGTTGCGGGTTCCCAAAATAAGGACTGTAGTATGTTGGGGTCCCCCTATTTTGGGAAACTACCAAATGTGTTTCTTGAAGTAAGGCAACAGACCAATTGAGAGTCTGAATACATCTTCGGAGCATGCAGTACGCAATACTGCGGGGTATTCATATGCCTCACGTCTCAAAGCTACAAGGCTCCAGATTGCTGAGGTGAGCTGCATGCTGCACCTAACCCTCCAAGCAGGTGTCATATGTAGAAATCATTTGAATGCACAGGAGGGATCTGGAGGCCATGTTGTGAATTCACAGCTTGGGGTTTCTTGGGGTGCCCTTCGTAGACTTTCCATGCGCATGAGGTTGTCTGGAAGAGCGTGTTGTTTGCGCAGTTACTTTTTGAGCAATCCCAGGTACAAGGCCTATGTCGAGACCCTCATGGAGCGCGACCTTCTGGCTAAGGATGTGATGATCATTGCGGACGCTCGCCTGAGCAAGTTACTGTGAAGTAGCTCTGTTGAAAGGGTTTCTAGCGATGATCAATTTCCCGAGATCCGATGGTCTCGCGCAGGGCTGCTGCACCATGAATTGTTGCAGAGACGTTTGCAATAACAGTCAGGAGCCAGGACCTTGCATCGGCCTGCACTGATTCCTCGCTAACCTCTTTTGCATATGTTTGTAGTTGCTGTTCCCAAGCAAGGCGCACCCCTGGGTGCAGACCTTGCTTGAACATGCCGTCAAAAAAACACCCCCGAGCCTTCTTGACAAGCACTTGCTGCGTGGACACAGAGGTGTCTGCGCTTCAGAACTTTTGGCGTAGGCAGTAATCACTCTTGATGTTTGAGAGAATCTTGGAACATCTCATAGCAGAGCTCTAGGACAACACGCTCTACGTCGGCTACCCGATGCTGTGCCTTGGCATCCAGTTATGGGGCCTTCGTTTCGGGGATGTATGATTTTGGTAGGTGTGGCTGAAGGGTGATGCACATGTTTTGACACCACGGCCTTCCCTGACACGACCTGTGACTGGTGGACGGTCCTGAGCCCCAAGATTTCTCAGGAGCCATCGCCAAGAGAAGGGATAGGCCTAGACTATCAGCAGGGTGTAGATTCAACATACAATCTATGTATTCAACACACGACACTTGGAGCTTGCGATCAGTTATTGCACAGCAGCACAGCAAGAGCCGCGGAACCCCACATGTACCGAGCCATCTTGTTGAAACAGGGCAACCCGCCGGACTCGGGGGAAACCGAAGGGCTTGCAGTATGGGAGACCTTCTTACGGAGCACGTAATTCTGCAGGTCCGAGACCTATGACACCCAGCCTGCTCGCCGAGGCCAGTTGCAGTCAGGGGAAATAAAATGGAAGCTAGGTGTATGAAAGGGTTTGTGAGGATATTTACCATTTTGATGGTCCTTGATTCCTGGTATAACCTTTAGTGCAGGGTACCTGTTTATGGAAACCGTGTTAATTTGTAGTCTGAATGATGGAGTGTCATATGGAAAAGCAAATAGAAGTCATAACAGAAACTGAGTTTGCGTGGGGCTTTTGAGGACTCCAACGGAAAAAACTAGAGATATCACTAGTGCCCTCTAGGATCATAGCTACTGACGGGTAAAGGGTTTGGGTTCAGAAGTTAGAGTACAAGGGCTTGGAAGGACTCCACTTCCTTCGCACCTTTCAACAAGAGGGACACAACGAGGGGGAAACCCAAGTAGCGAAATGTGTTGAAGCCCCTTTGCTCTGTGCCTTGCGATTCCACATGCGTTGCAACCACACCCCTTCGTCGCGGTGCAATGCGGGAAAGATTGTATGAGAGGGAAGCCTAAGTAGAGCCACATGTAAAGCCAACGCGCCCGTGCTCTCATCATTTCGGCTCCTGCGTGGCTTTAAATGGTAGATAACAACCGATAGGCCAAACCTTTAGCTTAAGCACCTTCGACCTTGCCTATTCGCTGAAAAAAAACACATATGCCTAAAGCAAAGCCAACTTGAACCATCAAATTTTGGATCCCTACACTAAGCTCTGAATGCCCTGGGGTTCCTTGCTCTGTTGCAAGTAACTAAAACTCTAAGCCATGGGCCACGAGTTGGGCTGCCTAGACTCCAGGCTTCGGAGATGCGGTTCGCGAGTTCAACGCCTGGGTCCGGGACCACCCCAAGCTGGAGCAGGCTGAATGGTTGTTGGATGTATTTGGAGCAAAGGGTTTTGATTAGGGGTTTGGGGCTTAGGACTTACGTTTTGGGCTATATGAACTTTGGGTTCTGGGCTCAGGGCTCAGGCTGCGGGGTTAAGGATTCTGTGCTTAAGGCGTTGTGCTGACAGGAAGAGGCATGACAAATTCGTCATTCCTTTAGCGGCCACAGCCCTTGCGAAGCCAAAGCCTGGAACCGTATAAAGCATGAGTGTCCAACAGTGAGGTGTGACTTCATGGCAATGCCTATTTTTGTTAGTAGGGCGACGTGTGAGTGACTTAACAAGAAGCTGGAACTCAGAAAGATGCCACAAGACGGACTCTGTAAGGATTCAGGTTTCAGAGTCGGGGCCTCGTGGGAATTCAGGGGAGGTAGGCATTCATTCCTCCAACCTGCACTGCAGCGGAATATCTTTGAGTTCAGATCAATTTTTTCTGTGTCAAGACCACGTTGGATCTGCAGTGTAATTGCTAGTGGACGGAACTTCTGCGTTTTGAGGAATCCTAAAGAAAGGATTTGGCAGATAAGGGCTCTAGTGGCTGGCGACCTATGGTTAGGGGGTCTATGGCTTCCGGGCTGCACAGATGCTGTGATGTGTTAGTACTTGGGGTATAAGAGCATAACATTACCTTCTACCAGTCATTGACTGAAGGACCACATCAACAGCAAACAGCACGGCCGGTTTGTCAACAATGCATCAACATTACAGGGCTTGACTGCAGCTACGTTGGGGTTTGGAAGCATGCTATTCACTTTTCTCCTGGTGTCCCCTCGTAGTTTGCTGCGAGCTTCCCCAAACATTGCCCCAGAAATGCTATCTTTCAGTTGG